AAGGTTTCCATAGCATTTTACAACCTCTGATGGGGCTGACCATTTTTAATCTTATTATTTTATGGAAATTAATGAAAGTGAAGAATCAGAGGCAGGCTAGAAAACAGTTCAGAAAGGGAACACCATTTATTTATTTTTATTTATTCAAACATTGAGCATGGGGCATATTTCACCCACACTCGTTTCCTAGTTACTAACTTTGCAGGGATACACCACACATCCTGCTCCGAGAAAGACCTCTTCCTCCTCCGCCTTGGCATGCAAGAGGCATTCTCTCGGCATGGGGTTGCCAGGGCACAAGGACTGTATTTTCCCATAGACATTTGGAAGACTTTTGCATCATATACTTCCTGCAAAATGTGAGGCAATAATGGCTCAGACAAGAGAGTTGCTATGCATATACAGACTATATTTACTGCATGTCTCAATAAGCCTATTTGTTATGTAGGAAATTAGAAAGGGTTGTTTGATAATGCATCAGTCAGGAGCCCTTGGTCCCCAAAGCAGCCTGCTCAGAAAGATTTTTTTCCTGACACATTCAGAGGGCACCAGCTTGATGGAGGAGACTGCTCTTGACCCCCAGAAGAATCAGGTTCGGCTATGAGCCACAAAATTAACATGCCACTTGCCAAGAAAGCAGAGGAAAAGTCTCATCCATGTGGATGCAAATTCCTGGCAAGCAGTTGCAATAAACAAGACCAAATCTGAGCAGCGAGCAGTCCTTCCCCTGTTTCTTCACCCTGAGGTGGGGCACATCCAGATTCTCAGCATACTTTAGCATGAAATGTGAAGATAAGACTCTCTATGGGGCTTCCTGAAAGAGGGGAGAGGCAAGAGAGATTCCACCCTCTCCCCAGTGGAACAAAGATCCACTCAAATCAAACCCAACCCTTCCAGAGAGGGAACTTGTGGTTCCAAGGAGAGGTGAGTACAGGAAAGTTAACATCAGAGGGAGAGTCCAAAATATCCTATGTTGTCCTCACAGGGCAACTAGGGTGAGACATATTAGCTTAATTGTCCAGGAAAGGACTGGACAGCCCCATCCCTGGAATCTCCTTGCATAAATAGCCCCACACATCCTGCCAGCTTATAGCTTTCTTTTTTTAATTCTTGGGTATAGAGTTTACAGTATTTGTTGTGCTTACAGCACAGAACAACAGTGAACTGGACCGTGATCAAGGAATCTACTTCTAAGCTCAAATGGTGGAAATTCTAGTTAGGGTAGAAATTAAAACTGTAAGGTTTGAGGGTGATGGAACCACACCCCACTTTTCTTAAGTCTAGCTCACTGCAGACCAGGCCCATAAGAAACACTAGGAGAAGTCACTGAGCTCAGTGTGGCTCCAGAGAAAGCACCCAGCCCTGAGGCTGGCCTCATCTCTAGGGAACGTGTGTGTTTCCACAGCCTGTTCCAGCAAACCACGTCTTTTGGCAGGCTTCCACTTTTATCCTTGCACCTCCAGGAAGTTAGATGGCTGAAGAGGATTGAAAAAGTCTCATTCTAATGGATATACCAGCTTGTCCCAACTGGATGTCTTTTAGATTTGTTAAACTAGGGTTCCCACCAGTTCCAGCCAGCTTTGGAAAGGCTGATGGGATGTCTGCTCAATAACAGTTTGACCAGACATGATGGGATGGAAGTGGAACATCTGTACAAAAATTAGACACAAAGGCACCAGAAACACTCAGAAACAGGCCTGTCCTTTCCTTCTATTCATCAGTCATTCCAGGCACCCTTCCCAGCCTCTACATAGTTTTCCCCACCCACCAATAAGCCTCCATTTACCACCTATGTCTTAACTGCACCTGTTAATCTATATCCACTGTTCTTTTCTGCCTTGTCTCAGAAGGCTGCTGGGTAACTCACAATCCAAGGAGACACTTAGTACCTTTAAAAATTATGCTTGCAGTCCTTGGCACATAACAAGCATAAAGCAAGTTTAACATCACATCACAACATAGTCACAGCACTGTATTATATTTTACTTTAAAAAGTCATTTTAGTCCTTCTTGAAAGCTTCATTTAAAAACAAGCAGCTAGTGTAAAGATTATGCTGAATGTTTACTTAGCTCTGGCTTATTTTAGGGTGCACAGTTGTGGTTTCCTTTCCCCCTGCAAAACTATTGCCATAAGCATGAAGTAAATGAAAAATAAGCAAGCAAAAGAGAAAATCATCACTGCATTCAATGGGTTTCATTAATGCAATAAATGATTACGTGTAAATCATTACATATTTAACCAAGTACATATGTGTCATTTTTAGTTTATTTTCTCTTGGTTCCATGATTTTTTTTCAGATGGGATGACCCCACCCACAACTCTTGGCAGGCTATTCAAAGCTTGAAATGGCCTTGGCCAGAACATAGCTGTACTTGTTTGCTCTATGTCAAAGCAATGCCCCTTTAAAAAAGAAGGAAGAAAAAGAGTGAGGGACTTCTACATCTATGGAGAGTGCACAGCTTCTCCACCCCTCTGAAAGTTGTTGGGCTTTCTCTAGCAAGGTCAAAACAGTACAAAAAAAAAAAAGATTTACAAATGACATTGACGGAATCCCTAGTATGCTATAAGTGAATATGCCATAGCTATTTCACAATAAATTCTTGTCTGAAAGCAGTCTTGGTTATAGCACCAATGGGCATTAAGACAAATGCAGAACTCTGCAGAAACTCTGTGAGTTTTAAGCAGGAAGGGATCATGAGGGAGAAAGAACAAGGGCAGCATTTATGTCCTCAGGAAAAGAAGGGGCAAGAGGGCAGCATGAGACACCCGAGTGTGTGTGGTTGGTCAAGATGGCAGGAAGTAACTCCTGAGGAGTTAAGGCTACTCATGTTAAAGAAGTAGGGACCACAAACCTAGCATTCCCAGATAGCACACTTGGTTCTGGGGAAATCTTGGTTGTATTTATTGGTGCTGCCAGACTCAGTTTCTCATCTCAAGCTGGCACTGGCCGCAAAGTATGAAGGTGGTGTGGTCCCCTCCCTTGTGGGTATTGCTATGGACAGATCTTGGCACTAAAGCTCTCTTGTGCTCTTGCCCCTGCTGGTAAATATTGATCCAGTCTCAAAGGTTGATTTCAAGGGAAACAAAGAGGGTGCAAATTCATTTCAAAACAGAGGAAGCGGAGATGATCGTGGGAAGATCTGTGGGATAAATCTCAAGGCTAGAGAGCAATCGACTAAATTTGCCAGGTTTTCCTCCTAATTCTCCTATGCCTTTGACAGCATTGAAGCATGCAGAAATACAATAGATTCAGCTTTTTCTAGCACTTCATTGCCATTTCTAGAAACGTCTACAACTGCTAAACAGATAAATAGTCTAAAGTCTCAAAGCCATCTGTGGCTCCTGAAAGCCTTCCAAAATTTGCCTCCAAATAATAATTGGAATATGATTGAAAAAGGAAAATATTCAATACATGGAAGTTTTTGCCCAAAACTTTAAGCTAAAATGGGGTTGGGTGCTTTGTGGTTTAATGTGTGGTGAGAAGTCAGTTCTCATTTAGCAAGTTGTGGGAACCCAGCCATCATCTGAAGCCACCATATGGGCATTCCATGCTGTATTGACACAGCCAGGGAGTTTTGTAACCTCTGTCATATGTTCTTTCTGATGGATGGTGACAATTAGGCAGGAAATGGGGCTTTCATTAGAAAAAGCTTTATATGTGGGAAATAAGGGTGATATTTTCAGCTAACTACTGTGCACATTTGCGTCAAGATGGCAGTCACCGCCTTGCAAGCAAAACCTAACAGTGATGCATGTAAAAAAATGGTGGGGCTTCAACTGTGCAGTCGTGGCCACCATTTTGACTTTTTGAACAACACCCGCTCCCCTGCAGATTGTCCTGCAAATGTGATTTCTTATTTATGTCATTTTTAAATCTTATCCCCCTATATTTCTGAAGATTTATTCTTCCCTATTGCATCTTAATTAGTAGTCAGACTTAAGTTTCTAACTTTACATCTCTCTTTCTCTCTCTTTATATTTCCTAACATTTTTTTCTGCCCAAACACTGAGACTTTTACCTCTCCTGTTCTCATTCTTTGAACCCACCATACAAAATGCATCAGCTAGAATCACACAGTGGCCTGAATGATCCTGACAATCTTTTAACTCCATGTTTGTATTCTGGGGCAGGCAAATCAGAACATTCCTGCTCATTTGGCTATTTGATGGGGCTAACAGATTGCCTCTGCCTTTGTGAGTCACAAATGGGGCGGCCGTGCGTGTTACCTATACTTCCATGCACAAAATTTACACAGGATAAGGAAATATTTAGTAAAGGCAGGAATTAAGCAGCTACAAAGGTAACTATTGAGTGGGAACGGAATGTGCAAGAAAGAAAAGGAGAAACAGACAGCAAGAATCCACAGAGAAACACAGCTCTGAGATGGGCTATTCACATTCCAAATATATCAAGAGCACTCTAGATATGTGTGAATTAGTAGAGAAGGAGATGAGGTCAAGCATATTTGTAGGGTGGATAGATTATTAAGCTTATGAGGCACAGGAATTCTGTTTAGGAACAGTGGGGAATTAATGACCATCCAGATAGAGCTATACTACAACTCATAACATCCCTCACCATTGGCCAGACAGGTTGAGGCTGCTGTGAATTGAAGTTCTAAAATGTTACTGGTTCCTTACCCTGCAGCTAAAGACACCAGTGTGGAAAAAAACAAGCAAGATGTATATGCAGAAAACTAATACAATCAGGTGTAATTCTGCTTCTGGCTTATAGTGGAAGGACTATGACTTACAAATAATGTCTGGATAATCTTGGTCTAATTGTATATGACTTAGTATGTCCAAAAGTTGGGAATTAGGGTTGCTGCAATTCTAAATCACCTAGAGGGCCACAGATTTTCAATTCCTGAAATGGATGGCCTTGTGGTCGCTTTGAACCATAGGATTCCAAGAGTAGTTTTGAGTATTGCATTGAGAGTGCATGTTCTCCAACGAGACAGGATGAACTTGGGCAGGTTCCAACCTCCTTCTACCTTACCTCGGCTCACACGCTGCTTAGCACCTGACAGGATTCCTGGAGTGTCTATAAGGCTGATGCTCTCAAGAACCTGGTTGGGCAAGTGAGCACACATAAACCTATAGAGAAAAAAAAGACTAGAGTAAACTTCAGGCTATGGATTTCACATGAATTTGTTCCCTCCACTTCTGTGCTTAAGAAATGCAACAAGAATCTTTCTTGCATCTGACAGTTTTGGCTCATGAAGTAGTATTGTCCATCAACTAAAGAACTGTAAAGGATTTGTTTATCGAAAGATAATCAAGTGACCTTTAAAATACATTCTACAAAAATGTTGGTATAGGAACTTTTTTGAGATGCATGAAATCAGCCATCACTGAACTGAAGTGAGAAGGTACATTTCACATGGAGGATAATTAGGAGAGGGACTACAAAGAAAAATGCCAAACTACCAATATCTTCATGCATTTATGACATGGCTTTGCAAAGATCTGGGTACACAGCACTGGAAAAACGGCTTAAAAAGGCCACCAAATGATCTGTGGGAAAAAAGGCATGTTGTCCGTAATAAAATTCCAACATCTTATGGCTTGGCACCAAGTTACCTTCAGGACCGCATTTGCCCCCTTGAATCTGCTTGATCAATCCAATCTTGCTTTGAAAAGCAGCTGGTGGTTCCCCACTTTCAGGAGTTGAGGTCAGGGGGCAAGGCTTGGAGGCACAACTTTTCTGTAGCAGCACCAGCCCTCTGGAATGGCCTCCCACTGGAACTCAGATTAACTCTTAACTTTAGCTACCTTCTGGAAGCAGTTGAAAACAGAGCTGTTCCAGAGGGCATTTGGGATCTGACACCTGGATTTTTGGTTTTTGGTTCTTATGTTTTTAAGGCTTCTATTTTTAAATGGGCTGTGGATGGTTTAGTCATCTGGGCATTCCTGTAAAATGGCCAAGAGTCCTGTGGGATTGTGGCAGGGTATAAATGTGATGAATACACAAACAAACATCATTATAATGGCAATAGGGTTTGAGTTATTTTCTAAGCTGGAATAAAAGAGGAGGAGGAGAAGGCATAATCAAGGTACATCAAATTATACATGGGGTGGAGAAAGTGGCGGATCAAAGCCTCTCTGGAAGCACAGTTTCTTGCATGCTCAGATACTGCGGCAACAGTGCATTAAGTGAGCTGGAGTTTATGAAACTGCTCATTTCTCATTTGCAGTATCTGCTAGTTTTTACTTTCACCCTTTGACAGTGCTACCTCGGCAGCTGATACAGATCTCAGTTCTGCATTTTGGAAAGGAGCCATTCTGTTCCTCCTCCGTAGCACCACAAGCAGCTGCTCTTTCTTTATTTGCACGGCTGAAGCTTCCCAGGAATTTTGGCACTCTCAGTGAGTCTCTATAGTGGGGCCTGCAGTTCCTTCAGCCCAGCAGTAGCAAACTAACAATTCTGATTTTCTTTTCTCATTGACTAAGAAGCAGTGAGAAGATCGCATAGACAAAGCTCCCAACAAACTGCCAAAAATCTTTTTACTGAAAGCTCTGAAGGCCTGGTGTGCTCTTTTCTCTCTCACATGGAGACGTTAATCAGGAAAGTCTTTCACAAATCAGGGTAATCAATATGTATGTTAATTAATCTACTTTTTTAAAAATGGGTATGTCACTTTTGGTATCTAGCATGGTCTTGGAATGGCATGCTGGTGCCTACTTCATAATGGGGGCAAGAGAAAAAACAAAATTGGATTGAAATTCAATTAATTCAATAAGGTTAATGTCATCACTTCCAGTGGATTCAATTTACCTTTCTGTCATATTAAAAGTGATAATTAGGTGGAAACTTTCAGGGCTAAACCCAAGGCTTACAGGGAGCTCCCTATAGCCCTGGTACTTCAGACTGTGCTCCCCTGGTTTAAACGAATTAAAATTCACAATCCCGTTCAAACCACTTGAACACATGCAACCATTTCTCTCTAAACAGCAGTGCGTATTCTAGAAGGGTTGAAAAGCATTATCCAGAACTCAGACCCTGACTGATTTGCAGCTCCAGTGATTTATAGTTGAATCAATTATCTCAAGAGAATGCTGGTGATTTTTGCCTTTTTTCACTTTCACTATCTTTTCATCTAGATAGATAGATGTGTTTGAAGGTGAAAAAAGGCAGAAATCCATCCATCCATTGTGTATGCTCCTTCAGTCTTCAAAATTCATCTACTGTAATGCTTATGTTAGGTCTAAATCCAATTCTGGAGTCCCAGCTGATAGTCCCTTCAGGGGGAAAGAGATAAAGCAAATAAGAATGGGGACAACAGCTGCCAAAATTGAGTTGTGCTCAGGGTGGAGTTGATGTTTTATAAACTACTTGACTGAGGAAGGAGCATAGCCCATCCTATGTAAACAACATGGTAAAAGTAGAGCTCTCTGGAAACTAACTAGAGGCATCAAATCTCAGAGTTTCCCATTCTCTGGAGACAAACTGCAATCAAGAGTAATTTTACTGAAGTTCTTCATCAGTTGGCAAGATTGTTTTAAAGATACATTGTGGAAAAAAAATGAAAATAAGTTTTTGGAACCAATCTTGGCTGGATTTATACAACATGCTAAACCCTGATTACAAAGGATGGGTTCACATAACCAACTAAGCTAGAACCAAAGAAACTTTACTATGGCTTAGTGCAATGTGTGAATCTGCTCTGTTTGGGGAGGGGAGGGGAAATGGGACTGCAAAGTGAGAATGGCCAGTGCTTCTCCCTTTTCCTACCATTATCTCTAATATCCTTTAATAGCAGAGATTATTATCTATTGGACTTACGAATCCAGACATTCTCCTAAACCCCAAACACCTTGATTTAATCTGATTAGGATGTACTGCAAACCCAGTGAAGGTGATCAGTAAACAAGGATGTATGGCTTAGTGTATATGAACCCAGATAAATGGTTTATTCAACAAACCATGATTAAAACAAGGCAGCTTTAATGTGTTGTATAATCTAGACTGAATCTACAGTGGGTGAAGGATGGAAGAGGAAACCATGAGGCTTGGGCAGAGACTCTTTCTCAGAGAGTCTTTGAAGGAAAATTCTAACCCTATTTTACAATCTCAAGGTTTGCATTTAATTCAGACTCTTCCTTCCCCCCATGCCTCTCAAGATTTGTCCTTCAATTGGTGGACTGAAGGAGGAGAAAAATACTAAAAAGTGAAACCAGTAGCAAAGTCCTTGGGGCTCTCATCTCAGCTGGCAATAAGGGGAAATGCAGCTTTTATTTTCCCAGCCTAGATAGGGTGAAGTTGCTGAAATTCCCTCTTCTAATCTGTGTTACGTATATTTAAGGCCTTTCATAAAAGCTGTTAAAAGTACAGGAAAAAGTCAGCCTGGTACAATGCCTTTTCTAATCTGGCAGTTTTCAGATATGTTGGACTCCAAATCCTATGATCCCCAGTCAGTGCATTCCACTGCAACACATCAGTGATGCACTACTGATCTGCCCACCCTCTGCTCCCAGTCTGTCTCTCTGATGCCTTCCAGCTTTATTGGGATAACAATGCCCGCTGCGTCCATTTAGCAGGTGCTGTTGGGGAGGCTGGGTTAGGGTGTGGCACTGGAGTGGAGACACAAGGTTTCAAAGCCCACTCAGCCAGAAAGCTCAACTGGGTCTGTCAACGTCTCTCTGCCTAGTCTATTTCACAGAGCGGTTGTGCTGCTTAAAAGCAGTGAAGGAAAAGAGAAACACCACATATGCCATCATCGGCTCCTTGGAAGGGTGTCAGTGAGGTAAGCAGGAGAGTTCTGCATGTGGATAATTTGCCCATATGTGGTCAGCGTGCGCGCACACACACACACACAGAGTTTTCCAAATTCAGTGCCACGTGGCATACTGAAATTAATAAACGCCCTGGTTCTGGAATGATTGATGGCCACTACCTTAGATCTCTTTAATTGTAAGTTACATATTCAAAAATACAGGCAAATGGAAAGGAATAGGTAATGATCTGGGGTACTCACCGGTTGAGAAAAGTGTTTCCAAAAGGATTGAGTTTTCGGAAGGGTTTTTTGGGGTCCACAATAAGAGCATTGCCTGGTATGATCCCCTCCGTTTCACCATGCATGACAGCAATGAAAGAGTCTGTGGTGGGTTCAGGTCCAATGCGGCTTCCAGGGATATCTTGCTCCAGCAAGTATTTAATGAAGGTAGTTTTCCCAGTTGAGTACTGGCCCACCACCAGTACCATGGGCTTGTTGTCAAAGTCGGCATCCTCCAGAGCTGGTGAGTGAAAATCATGGAACCGATAAAATTCCTCCACTGGAAGGAGCTTCCTCTTGTAGAGGTCTTTCAGGCCCTCAGTAACTGTGCGGATCACTTCTGGTGTTTTCTTCTCGTTCTTTTTCATCCAGCTGAACATATTGACTGCCCTGTGAAAATAGCACTCTGTCCACTACCTGGGAAATAAACTCTAATCACAGGTGAGGCTACAACTAAAGAGAATAAAAGCCTTGACAGAGAGAACCATAGATCTTAAAGAGAACTAGATCTAGAATGTCAGCAATGGGCAAGGCCCAACAATCAGATCCAGGGACTTGAATCAGCTAAAAATCTTAGCTAATAAAGAGTATCCAGTATGTTTATGGATTCTTTAATCCTTTAGGAATGCAGTATCAAATGGATCAACAGATCTCCAGTCAATGAACTTTTGGTAAGCTGGTATAGGAGGTCCAGAACTTAGTTCAGTTGATTTCCTGGAGAGAGAATCTCTTTTGCAGAAGTTGATAGTCCTTCGATGTTCCTCCAGTTCTAAACTTGCTTTCTCCAAGCTTCAGGTGAAAGAACACAGACTTCACTTTGGCACAGGATTCAAGAAAATCTGAGCAGAAAGGAGTCCTTCTAGGTGGGGAATCACTGAGCTTCTTCAGCCTTTGAATAAAATACGTCACTTTATTTTCGGAAAGGCTGTGGGAAGAGGCAATCAGCCAGCACAAAATATGTTGTAGACGAGGGCAGACTGGGACACAAATATCCACATACCAATGTCACTTTCAGATGGAAAATCCCTCTTGGTTGTTGTTTGTAGAAATCCTGATTTTCCCCTCCCCCCACTTCTGGGGTCCCAAAGAATATCTGAAGAGTTCTCTTGCATGAAAAGAAGCTGGCTGTCAAGAGGCATGCAGGGAGAAGAATATATTAACATAAATTATCCAGGAAGGGAGGAGAAGGCTGGGATGGCCAAGAACTCGAGAATAAGTAATGCGCAAAAAATGATGCACATTACCCCCCCCTCCCCAAGTTACAGGAATGTGGGTTTGGCAGTTAAAGGGCTCTGATGCCACCATGTGGTTCAGGGAGGAAAAACTAATTAAAAGTAAATGTGGGGGGAAGAAGAAGTAGGATGATGGAAATCCAAATTTTGCAAAGTATTGTAGATAAAGTGGGTCTGTCTGGGCCAAGGAAACATCTCCTTGGTTCTCAAACATAAGTATGCAAATGTTGAACCCTTAACAGCAATTAGTTAATTAGAGGTCCACATTCAGAAAACAACAGATGAGGATTATTAAATGTGCTCATCTGGTAATGTCTGCACAGTAAGTAGATTTCATTGGTGAGATATCAACCTGCCTCCAGAAACAGGTTCCAAAGACGCACTTGTAGTTCTCATAGAGTCATTGCAGGATTGCCAAAGATTGAGATAAGAACTGATAGAACAGGGATGGGGAAAGACAAGAAGAGTCTAGGCAGCTACATTAAGCAATGATAAAGAGTTGCTATACTGATTTCCAGATGTTATGATGTTCAGTCCATTTAAAGTGATGATTTTTTTTTTTAATCAAGGGAGGCTATGAGATACAAAGAGCAAATAATTGGATGGCTTTGATTCTTTTCTGCTTTAGCAAAACTAAAATTATTTATTTATAAGATTGATAATAATAAAGAACAAAAATTATTACAGCAACTTTGGGTTTTTGGGGATGGGGAACTTGGATTGGGGCCTGAAACTTCTGATGTAGTAGCAGAGTCCAGAGAAGATTAACTGATTTGAGACTGAACTGGAACTAAGCTGTTTTTATGAGATCACTGATGGAGTCTAGCATAAAAACTTTCTGCTCCCCCAAGCCACTGAGTACACAAGCATGAGATTACAAGAACTCAAAGAAGCAAATTTTGACAATCTTGGCTGATGTTCCTCAGATGTGTTGGAAGTGGCTGAGCAATGGTATGAGAACCAAAGAAACAGGGACATGGTATTCACACAAACATCTGTCTTTTTTCAAGGCCCATGTCTTGGGATGTTGTCTTTTTAGAGATAACAGCCTTCCCTCCAAGGAACAGAGTGTGCTACCAGGATCCACTCTCTGAAGAGGCCTGTGTAGGTTTGCATGTAATTTGTGATAACTAATTTTCTTTCATATAACCCCATATGAACTCAAAGGCAACAGTGTCTGACAAAAGACTTTTTCTCCAAGAGGCAGATTTGCTGAATCATTTACTGAGGTCCCGTTTATTTCAGTCCTTGACCTCCAGTTATGCGTATTTTTCCAGTTATGTCTTCTTGTTATTTCATTAATATGGCCCCAGTCACATAAATCTTGAAGTATATATTGCTACAAGTTTGCTCAAGTATTTTGAAACGTAATGCCTCCCCAGCACTGGAGGACAAAAGGCCTCACTGGGCTGGTCACCAAAAAAACAAAAAAAACCCACCATCAAACAAATTATTGGTACCAGTCTGATACGTGCAAGGTCTTGGCATCCAAGATAAATCCCCTCCATCATGTGCACTGTTTAAAAATCCAACTATGTAAATAATACAGCTACATCTTGGAGCAGCCATGGCTTCTTCTGGTATCACTGTTCATCTTATTAAGGACTCCAAGCCTACAGGAAGTCATGAAGCTTCCCCTGATCATGGTCAAGATTATCTCAGACTGAAACAACAATGCCTCTTGAAGAAAGAGCTTCTCACCGATCCTGAATTCAAAGCATGCCCAGTTTCCATTGGTTACTAGCAGCTGGCCCCTATTTCCAGGGCCATGCAGACATTGATTTGGATGAGACCAAAGGTGGGTTATGAATAAAATATGGTTTTGACTCTGAATTACTCTTGATCAGAACCAGTTCTAAAAAGAAGAGAAAAACAGGCAGCCTCTACGCGGTCTCTTTGGCATATAGTAGCATCAGGGGGGTATCTTGCTTGATCAAAGAAAGGACAAAAGTCACTGTAGAACCTCGCTGGCTATGAGAATAACTGAAGCTGGGCTCCTTGAGGAAAGTGTGACACACAAAATCCTACAGCAAATACAGAAACAGGAATAGTTTGGGGCAAATTTACTTTGGTGTTAGGTAAAAATGAATCATATTCACAACTGGAATATATTGCTATACTGCATAAGTAAATAATTTTAAATTATTTTTAAAATTTTGCAACAAGATATCTGCAACCCTGGGTGCCAAAATTTATCCATGAAGGAATGAGTCGGTTTGATATCTGCCAGGGAAAATATTTGAGTAAGGGTTCTTTTGCTGTCTTACTTTGCAATGTCTGTAAATCCTTCAGTTTAACTGATTACTTTAACTGCAATTACATGCTGGGAAACTTTTAATGGTGATTTGTGGTATAAATATTAAGAATATAAGAGCCATGGCAGAAAAAGGTAGCCTTCCCAGTCATAAACTTGGTATTTTTGCAGTTCTACTTCAATACTGAATTATAAATGTCATTTAAAAGTGCAATTGTTCCTGTTCATGGTGTCTTTTATAGCAATCTGAGAAAGCAATTTAGTAGATAAAAGTATCCCCGTAATTGTATCTCTATGGCAAAAGGATTCTGCATTTTGCTTGTTAAAATTCTACATTTCAGGCTGCTGGTAAAAGTTCAGGAGGAATTGTGAGCTTTTAACATTGACTTCCTTTACACTGTAATACTGCATGAACATGCATACATATACATGACTCAATATCTTCATCTGTAATACACTAAGAGCGCACAGACAAATCTTAAAACGTTTTCTTACATTTTTGTACCTTATTTTAAATTATAAGGCACTTTGAGGGTTTTTTTTAAGACAGAAAGATAGTATGCAAACATGTAAATAAGTGAACATGGAGCTTGCAAAATCTACCAGCAATACAGGGTTCTATTCTTCCTGAGCAGTAATAATTAATATTCTGATTATTATGGTGCATGCTTTGTTCACCCCTGCAAAATGGCCCTTTCTCCAGCCCAACCACTAGGAAGTCTGAGGGCTGGGCTGTTAATTCTGGACAGCACATGCCCCATAGGAAGGCACAGTTCTTCTCCCTCTCTGTGTACAAAAAAGTTTAACTGGAGAAGCACTTTGTCTCTAATCTAGACAAGGGCCCTAACAACTCATTGTTTGGAAATTTACTTGTTCTTCTGTCTCGCTGGCCAGATCTCACAAGATCTGAATACGATCCCCAGTGTGATGTATTTGCTATGTTCAGTGTCTATGCAAAAAGCAATGCTCCCGTTCTGACAGGTAATTGCTGGTTCCTAGCGGCAGCGGCCTGCCTCACATTGCATCCACAACTTCTGCAAAGGGTAGTCCCTCCAGATCAAGGTTTTGATGAGAATTATGCAGGCATCTTCCATTTCCAGGTAGGTCTACTAGACCATTATTTCTCAAGGGGCATTTTTCAGAAGGGCGAATGGCTTCCTGTCAAAATGCTCAGTGTTACAACTTCTGGGTTGCTCAATGCCGACTGATGAATGGCACTTCAACCCTGTATGAGATAGCATCCCTAATAGTATTTTTTTCTGTTGTATAAAGATAGTGATGGCTTCACACGTTTTTGCCCAATAGTTAATTTATGTATTTATATGGTGATAGCATTTTTCAAGCTATTTGCATCATGGATAAAGGCAGGACTCTTATGTTTCCAGCCTAAAACTGCCTTCTCTAACCTGGTTCTTCTAATTGTGACCGAGTTTCCTCAGAATATGTCTGTACAGCTGAGTGGTTTTGAGACACCAGTTTTCTCCATGGCACCTACTGGATGAACCCCCAGTTCTTTGTTTCACTGCTGGAGCCAGACAGGGAGAAGTTGGAAAAACAGCCCAAATGCAAAGTCTTTGTCTCCTTGTTGCAGAAAGTGGGCAGGACAAGTAGGAAGTTCCTGCTTGCCAACACTGATATCTTCCAGTGTGACTTTGAGACCAATAAATGGAACTGGTTTAATTCTAGGATGGCAACCAACTATGCCTGTGAGCAGGGTATGGGGAACATGTTTAGAGTGGTAGGCCAAGCTCTTGTTGATCCCCATCTGATGCCCAAATATTAATGAAGTAGAAATAATTCTACTTCAGACTAAGGCTGGAGAGAAACATACAATGTGCTCATTTACACAATTAATTGAGCAGCTGATTTTGAGGGGGGGGGGTGAAATTGAGCAAAGGAAGACAATTGCCACAACCCATGCAGTCAACTGATTTCCTTACACAAATGCACCCCAACTTCAACTTTACTTCTGTTTTGCAGGTGTCCAAAGAGGTAACATTCAAGGAAGTTTCACTGGATGGCCGCGTTTTTATTGTATTTGTGAACTACTTCAGCATCTTTGCAATGAAAAGCAGGAAATATCAGGGTTGTAAACTAGACTGGGAAATTGAAAAAAGTCATGGAAAAAGGAAATGGCAGACTATTTTCATACTATTGCCAAAAAACCTGTATGGACATGGCTACAAAGACATCATGAATCACACTTGATTTACAGGAGACTTTTTTTTAAAATTCACTTCTACTACTTACCCCATCTCCTGTCTAGCAGGAATGTCCGAGCAGAAGCTCTCCTCCTTCCACTGCAGTCTTCCAGTCAGCCTTATATATGCTTCCATAGTTGCACTCCCTTCCAAAACTATTGGGAACACCACAGCCTTTCTTGGCCTAGCTCCCTTTCCCATCTTCTTAAGAGCAGTGGTGTTTTGGAGCTCAGTCTAATTGTAGGGCTGGGCCAGAATTTCACTTTAGTTATAGGACTGGCCAGGGCAATTGCGTTGCTTCCCATGCAGAAATATCTCATGGGTTGACTGCATTTCCCTCCTTCCAGGATCTACAAGGCAAGACCTCAGCCCATATGAAAGAATTGCTTTCAAAACTCAAGGCTGTGGGACACATTCATGGGCAAAGGAAGGATATCACAGGAGAATTCCAGCTGGTCCCTGGAGATTACCTCATTATCCCTAGCACAGAGTTTCCACTGAAGGAAGGCAACTTTACCCTCCACATCTTCACAGAATCAAAACATCAGTGTATGTAAGTTGTCAAGATACTACTTGAGCCTTTACGATAACACAGGGATTGCCCTCCTGCACGTAGTTCAATAATCAGACAAGGTAGAATCAGTGGCATATTTTTAAGTAACTCACACTTAAAACTTACTTGTATCTTTATGGGGGATATGAAATCCATTGGTATTCCACATTTGCCTAAAATCTTATCTATGGTTTTGGCTTTGAGTTCCTGCAACAAGAAGTAGATGGAGTCCAAATGCTATTTGGTATATACAAGCTAGCTCCATACGGAGTCCAGACTCAAAAATCTCTTTCAAAAGAAGGTATGAGATCCAGTTCTCAGCCAGTCACAATCAAACAGCCTGATAGTGTCCATTGCCCAAGTAAGAGGCAGATGGAAACCACTGTCCTTTCCCAAAGAGACTGGCTTCTAGGCCATTCCTGTATATCAGAGGGGTAGGAAAAGAGGCATAAGAATGTGAATCTTAACTTCAGGATAAGGAAAGCTCATATTTGATTAATAGTAGTTGCAGGAATTCTGTCATAATGGCTTCTTGAACATTTCTAGAATAAATAAGCTTTTGTGTCCTTGGAAATCTATTATTTCACTTTCCTGCTTAACCAGCCTAGAGAAGTCTCACAGAGTGACTCAAATTTTACAATAAACAATAATGGGGATGGTTTAATTTGGCTTAGAATTTTGTGCGAGTCCAGCCAATTTTAGTTTATATGGTAAGCCATGGGTAAGCAATCCTAGTTTAGTGTGATGCCGTAAGCTAAAAAATCTCAGTGAACATACAGTACATGCGTTTTCTCTTCCCTATGCACAGCTCTTTAACCATGCTTTGTGGTGTAGCATTTCAATCAAACCCGAAGCAGCTGTCATTTGGCTTTGGAAACTGAGACTTGTATTTAGGTTTTGGCAGTAATGACAAGTCTTGGTTTCTGGAAACCCCAAATGACAATTGTTTCTGGTTTGGACAATATGTTATGCCACAAACTGTGATTAGTCATGTGCAATGGGAGAACCAAGTTTTTAAATTTGGCCTGCCATATAAACACAGTCAACATGTCCCTGTGCTGCCATGCTTGGAATAGAAATGGAATCTTGTGGCCAAGACCAAACCCTGGATTAAAGGTATCATGACAGATGTTAAATTATCTCATAGGGAAATGAAATATGTAATCAGTGCAGATGTGAAGATATTAAGTGTAATGGCTCCTATCACTGGATTTAATAGTATTTTATGAGGATTTGATCTGCTGGATTATATATCTTTGCAACTATTTATGTTATGCTGAAATCTCAGCTTTTCCTGCAAATGAATCAAGATTCTAGCCCTAAAGGCCGTAATGAAAACTTGAATGTCTATTTCCAAGACCTTTAAAATATAACAAACAACAATAAGCTTTCAGTACAAGATGGGGGGCTAGAAGAAAGAGAAAGACTGTGCTATGTACAAACTAAAAAGACTTAAGGTTCAAAGTTATACAGATAGTTCTCAACTTACGACGGCAATTGGGACTGGAATTTCTGTAGCTAAGTGATGTGGTCGCAAAGTGTGACCACATCACTTAACGACAGGAATTCCTGCAGTCCTGGTTGCCATCATTAACCAAATCCCACCGTTGTTAGGCGAGGCAACTTCCTGCTGGCTTCCCACAACCAAAGCAAGTGGGGAAGTTGGCAGGAAGTTGCAAGTCCCAGGCTGGCAGGCAGATAAGTGCTACTGGGTGGGGGAGGGAGAGACGGAGTACATGAGAGGTGTGGTGTGGGTCAGGGAAGGTGCGCGAGAGGCATGGTATGGGTTGGGAAGGGTGTGTGAAGGTGTGAGAGGGTGCACAAAGGCACAGTGCAGGTTGGGTGCGTGGGAGGTACAGCACAGGTTGGGGAGGTGTGCAAGTGTGCGTGAGTGGCTGGTGCGGTGGGAGCATGGAGGGGCTGGGAGAGGGTGTGCAGGTGGGGAAACTTACCTTACCAACTTGCAACCTTCCCTGCTGGCTTCCCCATTGACTTTCTGGGGAAGCCAGCAGGGAAGTTTGCAAATGGTGATCACATGATCGTGGGGCACTGCAACCGGTCATAAGTGCGAACCAGTTGCCAAGCACCCAGTTTGCAATCACGTGACTGTGGGGTTGTTGGGATAGCCAGAACGCCAAAGACCAGTTGTAACCACTATTCGTTCAGTGCTGTCATAACTTTGAATGGCTGTTGAACAAATGGTTATAGGTCAAGGACTATCTGTAAAGTTTTATCTTAATCCAGCGTATATAAGAGTTTACTTGCAAATGACTTGCATTGAGTTTCTACAGCCTCACTAATTTTAATGTGCAGTAAAATCTTATTTAAAGATTTCCAGAGCAATCCAAGGCTGTTCTTGGACCTCTCCAACCCCAAAGAGCTCCAGGAAGCTGAAAGCCCTCTTGGTTATAGCCTGAAAAGATGTACAGGTAGTCCTCAGGTTACAACCCTAATTGGGACCGGAATTTCCATTGTTAAGCGAAGCAGTCATTAAGCAAAACATCATATGACTGTGCTGCTTAGCAGCAGCAGCAGCAGCAGCAGTCCTGGTTGCAGTCCTTAGGCAAGGACTTCTTCCTTCTCCTGCCCTGCGTGAACTGCCTCTGCTTCAACTCCCCCCACCTGCCTATCCCCCCCATCTCTGCCCTTTTGGCATCCCTGCACAGCATGGCCAAGGTTAAGAGGCCTGCCCCACTTCAGCAGTCTTAGCCCACTGCCTGCCAGAGTCATGCAGAGCCCTCCCAAAGTCTTGCTTTCAGCAGGGAAAGGTGGTCACTAAGAGGCTTCTCCCTTCCCTTCCCTTCCCTTCCCTTCCCTTCCCTGCCCAGCCTGGGAGATGCAGCTTCTCCTACAGCCAAGGCCCTGCGAAGCCTTTCCAGCTGAAGTCCTGGCCACTTTGGCCGAACTTTGCCGTGGGGACCATGTGGCACCTTTGCAGGCAGGAACTTCCCAAGCAGAGCATGCGGTGCACCTCGGGACCAGAGCAGGGAGCAGTGGGTTGAAGAGATGGAGCTGCAACTGCAGCCGCCCCAAGAGTCTCCATACACAGCCTGGGGTTGCCCAGTTACCACTCACTCCTGCCTTGCCTCTGCAGCACAGAGGCCAGAGAGCTGCCCCCAAAGCAGCAGTGAGCCCCGGCAGAGGGACTCACATGTTGGCAGCAGCTCTTGGCAGGGAGAAGCAGAACCAGGAGGAGAAGCAGAAGCTGCTGCAGGCGGCAGATCATGCTGGGACTTTTGCACCCGGGCGTTGGGTGGGTCTGGGGCAGGCCAGTGCAAACCCCTCCCCACAGGGCAGGGACATCAGCTTGATTCCCAGCCAGTGGTGGGCTGAGAATGCTGAAGGGAGGCAGGCCTGCCAGGAGCCCGGAGGCCAGGGAGGCATTGGTGGAGGCGAGCCCAAAGCCGATAGAGCCCTGTGCCATGGAGCTGGAGGCCAGCTGGCATTGGCGAGCCCAGTGGAGGGGAGGTGAAGAAGATAAGAAAGGTCAGCTGGGGGCATCAGCGGAATACAGTTGTCTCTTCATCTTGGCCATGCTGTGCAGGGCGGCCAAAAGGGCAGAGATGGGGGAGAGATGAAGTGTAGGCAGTTCGCACAGGAGAACGTGACTATAGGACACTGTGACAGTTGTAAATGTAGACCTGTCGCCAAGTACCCTAATTTTGATCACGTAACCACAGGGATGCTGAGATGGTCATAAGTACGAGGACCAGTCATAAGTCCATTTTTTCAGTGCCATCATAACTTTGAACAGTTGATGAACGTGTGGATGTAACCTGAGGACTACCTGTAATTATGATGGAGATATACATTAAGGTTTATGGGCTTGTGGAGATGGGAGGAGAAGACAAATAGAAGAAAGGCTTATCAGTGCCAAGAGCAAATCCCTGATCAGCCTGGAGAAATAAATGACATTTTCAAAGAGGAGGTCAGATCTCTCAAACAGGTTGAGAAAATAATCTTGAAATATTTTGGTTTGTTTTTAGGACAGAAAAATGAGCACTGGTGAATTCCAATGGCCCTCAACCATGCAACTCAAGTTGGCAAGTATTCATTAAGGCTGACTTTATTATGCTCCTCTCTCTGTGTTTTCCTTCTGTTCCCATAAGGGTTCACCTAGAATTTTAGATCTGGATGGGACTTAAGATTCATCTTCTCTCTTATCTGTAATGACTGTGGTACTCTACCTTTACCTACCCTAGCCATTAAAAACTGTAGTTGGTTCAGAATGCACCATTTGAATGCTGAGACCACTCACTCATAGGATCATGTGTATACTGCAAGTGTTCCACCATTACTAATTTGTGGTGATGATCTTTCAAGTCCAAGATCACTGTCTCCTCCTGCCAGCCTCCTTCTAGCATAAAATCTGAGGCAGAGATTTTTCTTACCTTCTGACTATGGTGGAGAATCAGCTGATGGGGATGAAAATGTGGAATCAGCTGATGGGGATTGAAAATATGGAATTCTTTGTTTGCATGAGTATTGCCAGGAAAAAATAATGCTTCCACTCATGATCACAGAGGATTTCCCCCCTACTCCCCCGACTGGAATAGAATCAAAGACACCCTCTTCTCTTGCTCCTGCACAGAATACACTATTACATTGCGCGTAATAGTGATAATAGTGCCTCTTGATGTCTTTTCTAGCAAGTCCTCTGAAGACCACGTTTTACCTGGAGCTTTGCCAGAAGATCATTCAGTATTTCAGTGTATCCTTTTCCAGAGCTAAAATATGAGCTAAATATTGAAGGGAAAGGGAGTTTCTGTGCCAAGGGGACTTCACCTGAAGCTCACTATCAGGGGTCTCACCCAGGCTCAACAGTAGATTCAAAAGTGTGGGAGTATGGCCCAACCCATTACCTGACTCCAGAGAGTATAATAGGTTGCTGACTGAGGCAGTAGAGCAGCCTTGTCCTTTGGAAGTTTCTAATTATTTTCCCCAAGGAGGAGATGGACAGAACAAAGCTTGAAAAGGCTATGAAAGCACAAACGTTTTAGAATTATGAGACTGGAAGTGTACCATAGCTGAGGGAATGCTGGTTCGGGTGAGACCTGGACTCACATTCCTTTCCCTCTTCTTGCCCCTGATTCCTCCATAATGGCAAACTGACTTGCTTCCTTTAACTATATGACTGGAGAGTGGGAAAGACCATTTGACACAACAAGAGTCCAAGTACTTTTGCTTCAAGCTGCAACAGTGGGAGGCAAGTGCATGACCTGTGTTGTTTAAACAAAAACAAAAACACCCAAACAAACCAAATCCAAACCCACTGACTCACTTCACAAAACAAACTTTGTCCAAACATCATATGATTTCACATTATAACCTGATTCATACAACATATTAAGTCAAAAACTAGGTTTCTCACAAAGTACTCAACCCCATTTCAATCTAGTCTAGCATGCTGTACTAACCCAGTCAATTTGTGGTCCAATGAAGGGTCCATATGCTGAAAGGGTATAGGTCTGCACTGTTGACCAGGCAAGCAGAGGAATCCAGGCTCTTACATTTTTTTTACCAGGCTTATTCAAATCTATACTACAGTTTTCACAGTACCCGTTGTTGAAATTCTCATGTCTGCTAGATTATGGTTCATGACCTAACTACCCACCCCTAGGGGATAGTTAGGCTCTTTGTCCTCTGTCCTTTGTTTGCATTCTTTAAGTGGTCTTGCTACCTATAACAGCTTAACTTGTAGAAATTTAACAAGAATAAGCTTCAGCTTGCTCTTTAAAATAGGTGTAAATTATTACTCCCACAGTGTAAATGAGAATGCCAAGTTTTAGGATACACTAAGATTCTTAAGGTCTGCTGGTAAGGATGTGAATAGGAGCTGAAACAAGTACTAATTAGCTCCCAACCTTATTAGCTCCATAAAATGTCCCACAATGCTAACCTATCCTATTTCTGTTCTGCAGCATATATTTATCCAGTTTGATAAAGACAAATCTGGCACCATGAACATGCATGAAATTCAACTGGCGTTGGATGCCGCAGGTTAAAAAGGGTGTTGAGAGCTTTTTAGAGGTTTGCTTCCTAGATATTTAGAAGCCCATTTTGTAGAATTCACAAGAGGCGATTGGAAATCTTTTGCTCTAAGCTTTGGAGGGATCTCCTGAGTAGATTTACTTACAGTAATGATTATCCTAAGAATTAATAAATAAATAAAAATAACAAATATTACTTCACCTATGAAAGGACCATTTTAGCTGGAAATTTCATTTCTTGCCCTTATGGAATTTTGTACCAAAACTGTAATCACATTGGCCATTTGGCAGAGATAACAAAAGTAAATCTAAATCATGATTTAGCACTTCATGTTGAGTCTCAGTGCTTCCAAGTTCTGGCCAGTTGCTGAAACAGGCCAACTTAAAATGCTAAGCCAAAGCTTTCTGAAGTGAAAGTAAGCTCAGCAAATTTCCTTATAGTTGTGCAACAGGAGAGCAAGTGCAAACCCAATTTAGAGAAAGAGAGGGCAGTTTATAATATAAAGTTATACTATTTTTAAAAATTGTAAAGAGAAAAATGCTTTTTCAAGGTGATAATGTTGACAAGAAAGTATCCTATATAGTTTCTTGCTCCTCTCCCATGCCTAATAAAGGCAAAATAAATTATATCAAGCATATCAAATTATAGGTTTGCTTAGTCTGTAGAATCTATATAGGGCTGCAGCTTTGGCTCAGAAATATAGCATTGCTAACATTGCTCTGCTTTTAGTTAGGATTCCATTTAAACAAGCAGTCAAAGCCCTTTTGGGAAAACATGGGGATCCCTCACTTCAGATCCACTTTGACAATTTTGTATCCTTCATGATTCACCTGGAAAGCATTTTCCATAAGAGATGCCATTCTCATTTTATTATCACCACTGTAATTGTTAACTACACATGCATCCTTCTCTTCCTTCACTGAGCTAAGAACAGAGCACAGGGATATTGCTCTGTTTTATTCTAAAAACAATCCATAAAACATAGAGCTGAGATTTGCCCAATATTATGAGATAAATTTTACTATTCAAAATTGACTCTGATACTCCTTGGTGCTACTCTCAGCTTCCTAGTCTGCACACAACAGGTGCTAATTCCCCAGCTGATGATTTACACAAGTATGACAAGCATCCTCTTTCCTTCCAACAGGGCAATGCAAACACCTGGATGTTAAAGAGGATGGTGTATGAGAAGGAGGTGAGGGAAAAAAAAGCAACCAAGTTTTCAGAGTTTTTACTGGACATATTTTCTTCCATTGCTTTTCCCAGGATTTTTTCACTGCTATAGTTTGCAAGAGATACCCTTCAAGAGATTTTAGACTGATGCACGTCCATGCCCGTCAGTTGTACTGCTTAGCCTATCAAGTGTGAACTCAACCTTCCCTTCTACATTACAGGAAATAGAATTAGCAAACTTTTAATGTAAAATGAAATGTACAGATCTGTAAAAATTATGGTTGTTTTCTATCAATAAGAACATCTTACATTTGTCTATGTAGTATGGGAACATGAAGATGCCAACCACAGAATGTCTGAAAATTACAAGAGGTTCAGTATAGTTTACAGGACATTTAAAATTAATTCTACGCCTGCCATCAATCCCTGTAGTTATATCCCTTCTTTCTGCTTCAGAGTACCTATGTTTTCCTTTAAAGCACATCCAAATGTGAAATTAAAGCTCACCTGGTTTTGCCTTTCAGTGGATGGAACTTGCCACCTCTCCTTGATTCAGAAGAACTGATCCAGCTGTTTCTACTATAATAATCACTGAATGATTGTAATGATTATCGCCAAGTCCATCAGTAGTCATTTCCAAATTAAATAAGCCTCTCAAGTTTTGCATCAGAAATCTGAATTCTGCAATCAGAATAAACACAATGCTGTAGAAAACAACTGCTAACTTTGATTCTGACATGCAATGTGTAGTTAAAAAATACTATGTTGTTTGCATTAAGGTCATAATCATTGCCATTTGTTCTTTATATAATACCCAAGCAGGAGTACTTCTCCATGGACTTTTTGTCATTTTCAAAGCAGTTTTTCTTTCAGTCAAGAAAAGCCAAACCAATTTCTATACCATTTTTAAAAAGAGCAATTTAATTTACACAGAAGTACTAAATGTACATAATTCTTTTAAAAAATTGTTATACACAATAAATACAGTACAAAATTATTTTATAGTACTATATTTTGTTTTTGAACTGCAATGTTCAAACTGGTACCAGCAGGGGGAAGAAAGAAAATGTGTTATTTCTTTCAAAACAAGTGGGGTATTACTTTTGGCTTCCTGTTATAGGGAAACTCTTCCTGTTATTTGGTTGTATTGGGTGGGAAAGTTGAAAGAGCTGGAAGAATGTAAATGTATGTTCTTAATTTTTAAAAGTGTCCTTTTAGAATTATCCTCTCAAAGCCACTTTTCTAAATCGGTGATTAATTGAAATAGGCAGGTGGAACCTTCCCAAAAATTGTGTTCTATATCCCTCCTTTTTCTGATAACCCCCTCTCTCCACTCTAAAAAAAAAAAAAAAAAAATGAAAATTCAAGCGCAAAGAGATGGGAATTTCTCTTCTGGTTTTGTGCCTATGAAATTAAAAAAAAAACAAAAACAAACCACAATCACTTTGTTCAAAATACTGGAAAAGGTGTAACATATACTTCTCCATGACAGTGCACATTAATTTATATTAGCTTTTAATTTGCAGGGAATAACTTTCCCACTTAACCATATTGCAGTGAGAAGAAAAACAATGGCAACCAAATGAGCTAACAATCCCAAATCTACACTTTTAAAAGGAAAAAAAAGGACACTAAACAAAAAGCCAAACAATTTCATATACATTTCTCTATATATATTTATATATATAAAAAAGAAGAAAACTCATCAACATCCCTTATTGCTTCCTAACCATTTGTTTCCCCCCATGGCACAGGAATAAGGTTGAGAAACTATGGTGCACTGTAACTTTAGCAAACAATGCTTTTAGCAAACACCAAATCTGATTTTGTTTGGGATGCTCCTTCAACAGTTTTTTACTACATGAGCTCCCAAAGCAGCCTTTCTTGTAGGTGCTACAACTCTATTTCACTTCAGTGGAGGGAAGAAGTGCATGTGTGCTCCATTGCACATGAACCGGTAAAGCCTACATGCACAGGAATGCTCTACATGGAGCGCTCTGGATCACAAACAGCGTGAATGTATTGCTACTAGCAACTTCCTTCCAAAAGACGGTAGCAAATGTTCTGTAATGGAGAGCCACTTTAGAAGAGCGGGGAGGAAGGAAGAGGATCAACAGCTGGACAAGTGCTTGAGAATATACATCACAATGCATGTCACCTTACAAAAAGCCAAAATTAAAACAGGAGCTATACTATTAAATTGCATACTGCTACAGAGCATAAAGAGACAGGAACACAGTAGTTTCTCTGACATAATCCACTTGGTCAGTTTCAGATTGGTAATTAATGAGAACTGCTCTGTGGAATTGTATCTTTTCAAGATTATCTGGAGCCTGATCCAGCAATCCCTCCTGCAAATTCTGATGTAGATAGTTTCATATGCACAAGGCACTCTTCAAATGGAACACACAAAGCTGGGAAGATGCTGTGTGCAATTTCTTAACCAAGTCTGAACCATTTGCAAAATATGACAGAGACTGAGATATAAAAATGTAGACCTCTTAACTCCCTTTTTGGTTCTATTTTTCCTAACTAGTTCTTCGCCAGTAAACTTCATTTTTAAAATCCAAAATGTCTTTCTCTACTTCACAAGACACAGTTAAGTTTAAAGGAGAAGGAACTGATGCTAATGAATAGTCTCGGATTCACAGCAACTTATTTTAGCATTTTCATGCCCTGTATTTTGGGGCAGAGGGACTACTGGTATTGCTCTTATCTTTGGGAGTTAGTGCATGGTGGGGAATGGAGTCTGGCAAGGGGCAGAATCTGGAAGTCAGAAAATGAATGCAGGTGCATTCTATACTGTATTATGAATAGAAAAGGATCTGGAAAAAAATAAACGAAATGCAAGATGTTACTAATGGGGTTATATATCCTGATCTCTGAGAGGAAAAAAAAATATATAAATAATTAAAATAGGCCTAAATTCAGTCCCTTTTTCCATTTAATTAAACTAGATACTGCTTGGTTCTCTACCTGTGTATTTTAGAACAGACTGTGTAGGTATCTGTCAAATATGCTTTGCAGTTGAGTAGCTATATTTAAAATATTTGTATGATAATAAATGTATATTCAGCTAGGCTTGTGGGTACCAATTAATAAAGGAGAATGAGACAAAAAAAATAAAGCAATGACACTATATGTGTGCAGCACACACCTATTAGAGAACAAGGGATGGGGCAAAATTGCTCAGGTCACTTCTATTCAACAAGCTACACAAGTGTAATTACTTCCTCATCTTTTTTTAAACCAAGTTGTCTCAGAAGAACTGTCTTCTTGAAAGCACCAAAACCACAGTATTGTATGTATGTATGCATGTATATATGTATGTATCACTGTTTAAACATACTGATTATTTTTAAATGGATATATCAAATGAATACATGGATAATATTAAGGCTTTATTTGTGCTTGTTATTTGGAGTGGGAAAATTAGTGAAAGAAGGATGCTCAAGAGTGTTAGGTTTTCTGCACCTAAACGATCTGAACTTATTCACTGTTCCAACTGCCAAATCATTTTGATGAGTTGGCTTTAAGAACACGTTTATCCATTTTAGAACTTTTTAGTCTTTTAAAAGCATTTCCAATTTCACAAAATGACATCTGAAAATAAGTGTTTGCTTTGTTATTTTAAAGTGAAAATTTAGATTTGTTGTACCTAGGGAGTTCCCATTTTTGCACCCTTCTCCCTGAAAAGTGGGAGAATTTACTTTTTAAACAAAGTTCAAAATTTCTCAGGACATTATCTACGTTTGCCCAGGGCAGAATGAGGGCAATGGTTGTGGGCACAAGGGGAAGAAAAGTATCAAAGGGACTTTATTTTATGGCTGCCTGCAATAAAAAAACCAAAACAAAACTCCACCAAACATAAAAAGGCGAGTGTGAAGGAATCCAGAAAACATCTGCAACAAATTTGGACATGGAAATTAGAATTATAGTATTTTTTTTCTGGGAAAGAAATAAAGAAATTAGAGAGTAAATAAAAGGTTTGTACCAATGGCTAAATTCGGTTCATTTGGCACACTTTCAAAAGGACAAAGAACTTATCTCCAAGTTGAGTATTTTGGGCCTTGCTTCTGTTCTTGGTTTATCCTGTGGGACAACAACTAAAAAGATGGGCTGGCCTGCATTTAGCCTGAAATTCAATTCAAAAAAGGCATTTCTTCTTTTTCATGCAGGTAGTGGAGGACGGAATGTCACAAATCCAATTTTGCAGTAGATAAATTAGCCTGTTAATAGGCAATTCTATTAGTGATGGGCAAAGAGGGAGCTACCTAAATTTTGGCAGCACCAGTTGCTTTCCAAATTACATGGAAGGTAGCATATAAGTCTTTCAATTTTAGGTAATAGACAAATTTTGGAAAAAGAAAATCCAAACTGAAGTTTAATAGTAGCTAAAAGGGGCACACATACTAAATATCATTGGTTCTCACAACTGGATTCATCCCAACAAAAATACAGAACATACTGTTGGCAATTTGATGAACCAGAAAAACATTCTAACACACTCTTGTGTAGGTGCTTCCAACTGCAATCTGAAATAAAGACAGAGATTCATCCTATTTGCCTAGAACTAAGAAAGCTACAGTAGAAACTTCTACTGAAAGTTAAGCATCTCTTGTTAAAGAGAAAGGAACAAGTCTCATCCAGGTTAACATGTATGCTCTATCCCCTTTTTTGTTTGCCAGCCTCATACAACTACATCAGCCAAGAGGGTTTGGTACAATGAACCAAGCTTGTGTTCTGACACTATGAAAAAAAGATCAGTTATCCCACTGTCTTCTTCCCCCTGCTCCAGCTCTCAGCATTGTAGAAAATCTTCTACACTAAAAAAGGGGAAAAAAGGATTTCTGCATGCACATCTAAATGGTAGAGGTGACAGCCACTAAATGCTTACCCTAGAAAAACTGATCTTTAGGTGAGTTGTGTTTATATAAACAACTCTACCACAAACACAGTTGTGATAGATGGACTAAACATGTATATGTCTTTCACTTTCTTTTTTTCATTCTTTCTTAGGTGCCCATGCATGCTTCAGGATGGTAGGAAATTGTGTTTGTACCTCTAAGTCCCTTCCATAATATACCCACTGTAATATACAGTAATGGGAAGAGGTAGAATTGCAGGGAGGCTGCAGGAACTTTTGATACTTAAAAGCAGAAGAATATGATTTTGGTTTATTTGTTTTTGCATTAAATCTGTCACCTGAAGGTACTTTCTCTGACACTTATTAGCATTAAGAATCAAGCCTAGCATTATTCTGTTATAGCTTCACTGGAGCATTGTGTTGATAAAAGATTAATGAAGAATGGCCAAATGAAAGTTAACTACAGACTGCTATGGAGCCTCTATGAAAACTCAAGGATTAACATTTGATGTGGGCCACTACTGCTATAATAGAACCAGAAAGAGATGCAAATTAAGAAAAGATAGTAAATTTTCAACACATTTTTGGCAGAAAGAGTACACAAGTCTTCAAGTTATGCAGAGCTCTGTACTGGACAGAAGAGGCATGGCTTCACAGCCTAGATAATAGCAAAGATACTTTTAAATGGTTACAAATAAGGCAGAAGTGGTCAGCTTTTTGAACTTTACACCAGTTCAATCCACAGCTTTTTTGTAGTATCGGTACTAAAATTGGTCAAGCCACTAAGCACTGAAAATATTTAAAAAGCTCCTGCTTTTAAAAAAGAATTTAAAAAACTCCTTTTTAAAAAAAAACCCTAAGAGCATCTATCTTTCAGCTTGCCTTCCAAAGGATTCTTTTAACAGACTTGCATATTATTCTACCATAACTGTATGCCAACAAAGGATCTCCTCACCTTTGTTTCCTTTTTTCCTCACAGAATCCAATTAAAGAGGAAGAAAAAATTCTCCCACTGCTCTTCAAAAAAAAAGCTAAACAATATCATCTAAAACAGCAGGTTATATTTGCCAATCAGTACACTTACAGGTTGAAAATCACCCCTACCTACAAAGGAAGCAGCAACAGACAACACAAGTAAGGCATACAAAGAGGAAGAAAAGATGTTGCAAAAGTTTGAGCACCATCTTACTAGGCCTAGGAAATTATAAGACGAAAGACTTGAATGAATACCATTACCCATGAAGCTTACAACTACAGATGGCAGAAGCAGACTATAGATAATGCCCATTAGAAAGAATTCCAAGGTGCAAAGGGAACTAGCTGTTTTTTATCAGCATACTGGTGAATGCTTTTGTGAAAGGATACCTCTTTAATTATTTATAGAAGAATTGGGACAATGGGACAGACAGATGTTTTGTATGCCCACTCCACATGTTAGTCCTGCATACTGAGTTTTTATTTTACCAAGCTAGTGATAATGAAAGCCTGTATCCTACTTCAGGTGTAACATTCACATAAACGATTACAGTCATCCGGTGATAGTTATAATGTGGGAAGGACATTTCCATTTATGCCTATCTATAAATCAAGACTAAGATAGTCCAAGAATTTGAAATTGCTTGGCATATCTTGTTTTGACTCACAGAAAACTTTCAAATTTATGGGAAACCTTTAATTGGGGGGGGGGCTTTCTGACTTATTGATGGACAAGTCTGATACTCAAATTCTGTATTAAAAGTCTAGGTTGTGGAAAAAATGGACAAAATATGAACCGGTGACATGTGAAAACCAGGAATGAAGTGCTTAGTCAATGAATTATGAGCAAGCTTAACAGCGTGGTGAGAGAACTAAGTAAATCTGAAAGGATGGATATATTTATTCTCATCAATGAATGAGAACAGTAGAGCCAAATGAATAACGAATTCCAAAGAAGGTGTAAGATGAGACCCAGAGTAAGGTGGCCACACCAAGGTTCCATGTGAAAATGTAGATATGATTAACTGAAGTTCATTTGATATCAAAGGGGAGTAAAAGTTACTTGGTCTGGATATGAAGATTACTAAAGTAGCATTGCTGTTTTCTTCTCCAGATGACTACTGGGAGCTGCTGAGAGGCATGGCCAAATCATGGTTTTAAAGATAGGAACAACCACAGAGGGTACTGAACCATGGGAGGCAAATATAGGCAAACACAGGCAACTGTGGCACAGAGCAAAATATCATCAACATATAGAAAGGGAGCCAGCTTGACTTTCTGCAACTGCCCAGTTTCCAAGGCAAACATTTACCTGAGCCCCAGCATGCAAAAGATCATCTTGGACCATAACGTGATCAAAATCCCAACTTGATTTTTCTTTCCTTCTTTTTTTTCTTTTAGGATGGGAGGGGAAAAGAGGAGAGAGAAATGCACATCCTCTTGCCACAACTTTCCTTGTTCCACCCACCATGGTTTTGTTAACAACACCCATCCATGTCCAGCAATGGACTGGTTTCCTCTTTCAAAGTGATTTATTTGTAAATTCATCCATGCTTATTTGTTTTTAAGCATTAGTGTTTATATTTTTTGCATCTTGTTCAGAATCTATTTTATATAAAAAAAGCAGACAGTTTATACTTAAAATAACTTAAGAAACCTGACAAAATCAATTACATAATTGCCCCATGTGCCAACTCCTTGTGGAATTGTCACCTTACCCCTGCCCCATTCCTTTGGCCTCCCTGCTGGCTTCTGATTTAAGATTTGTTAAAATGTCCTAAATATAGTAGTAGAGTTTGGGGAGAGGAGGAAAAACAAACCCAATTATCATCAGAGATTCAAATTAGCAATTTGTTACAGAATCTAAATATTACACAGCCAACACTACCTATGGGCCCCAATCCAACCCCCTCCCACCTGCCTGCTTGGCATTTGCTGAACTTTTTTTTTAATGGTGCATGTGATGAGACGAGTATATTGTAAATCCAGCCGAAGCTTGTACTTTACAACAACCAAAACCCATCATATAAACACTTGGATGGATGAAGCCTCTGTAGGACATTCTTGTTGCCCTCCCCACCCCAGATCCCCACTCTTCCCTTCTGGTATCAGCCCTATCCTAGCAGGTCTCTGGGAAGTGGCACCTTGGCTTCCAACCGTTCCCAGCCAGCAGAAGCTGCTGCAGCTTCAGTCCTTGGCTCTCTTTGTACAGTCTTTACTTGCTTTAAATTTCTGTTATCTGTTTAACGTCCTTGCTCCAAGGCCACCATTGTGATTGGGGGCAAGGTATGTGTCTGTGCGGTGGACAGGTGAGGAGAAAGGGGAGGAGGATGAGTTGTATGAAGATGAGGGTGTTCGAGTATTCTGGTTTCCAGCCTGAGGTTGCTGCAAATTCAGGATGCTGTCAATGGCGCTCTGTAGATGCTCATTTAGTGAGTCATCTGGGGGGCTGTCACTGGAGAAGCTGGCATTGTCCACATCAAAAGATTCGGACTTTCTCCGTTTGGCTGGGGGCAAGGGCACCTCCCATGTGAGTTCAGAGGCTGACCCATGGTCAAGTGGCTCAGTCTTTATCATTCGGTGGTAAAACTCATCCTCAACTTCCGCTAATTCCTTCATAAGGCCACTGGTTGAATCATCGGTCTTAGGAGGGGCAGGGCTTTCTTGCATCACCAAAGAACGGGCATCACTCCGGTTGAAAAAGGTATGTTTGGTGTTTTCCTCTGACCTGCTTTTCTCTGCCACAGCTGTGGAAGGACTCTCCTGAGTTTTGTGGGATGTGATAACACTTCTGGACCCACCATCCTGTTTGATGATAAGAGAACTTGGCACCATATCAGATTTTGGGATGCTCCCTTTTAGAGAAGTGTCAGGAGCTTTATCTGCTACAAAAGCATCCACATTCTCCCGGTAAGTTTTACGGAGAGGAAGTCTGCAATAGGTCACAATGGGTTTTTTCTCCATTGGAGCTGCACTAACATGGTCAACTGTCCCATTCATTTGTCCCGCCATTGAGGTAGTGGCGGTAGCAGTTGTAGTTGTAGTGGTGGTAATGGATGAAGTAGACGAGTGCTGGTCAGGTGTTTTGATAACTGTGCACATAGGTGGCGTCGTCTGGTGAACTGGATCCAAAGCAGTGTTATGAACCACTTTGCTAAGTCCTGCTTCTTGTTTGATCTTTAGCTTCAGTCCAATCCGGCTCCGAGCTTCATAGGTTTTAATGGGTGGCTTGCTCCTGGAGGGCAGGGCATCCTCATCTCCATCTAATGAGGGAGACGCTTTGGCCCACGTTACAGATGGAGAACCTCCACTGTGCTTGATGACCAATTTGGTGGGATTGATATGAGTTGTCATCTGTACTGGAGGTGATTTCAAGTTCTCAGAGGTCAAAGGAACACTGCTGGGCAGAGAGCCTTGAGCCGCAGAAGAAGCAAAACTTTGTGACCGTGAAGATGAGGAGACGTACTCATCTATAAGAGAAGAATGTATACTGCTATTTTAGTCAAAAGCATGTTGAGAATGTATTTTCATGACATCTTTGGTTTGGGTAATCTGCAGAAATGACCAACAATAAACTTTAATCTGGCCAACTTCTCTTTCTCAGGCACTGGAATTTACAAGGTAAATCAATCCAGCCCCATTCATAAATAGTTAAGTTACATAATAATGCTGCCACTGCATCACACAAGGTCACTGATGAGAAAAGAAATGTAGCTGACAACCATATGCATGTTCTGAAAGATGCCCTTAGAAGGGGAGTATCTGACCAGAGCTTTTGGCTCTCTAGAAACAGTCTTGCCATCTTGCCTACAGATACTGATATAAAATATGGAAGGAGCTTAATTGGTTCTTTTTGTTATAAATGAAACATTATAAAAATATCACACAATAATTACAATTGGAAATGTAAATGAAGATAAGATAAAATCTACTCTGGCTCCTGGATTGCATTTTTTTTTTAAGTTGTGGATGACCATATACTAGCTTACTAAATCAGGATATAAAAAAAGTATTTCCCATATCACCTCAGCCCCTTTCTTTTGCCCTTTTGCATACCATGGAGTGTGGTCATCTCCAGGTAACTATAATCCTTTTAAGGTTACTGCCTTCACAATAAACTAGAAACTTTAATTTCAAGCTGTGTATTAGCATCCAGATTTGTTCTAAAACTAGTACCCATAACTTTCTGACTTGGACAAAACAGGAAAGTGCAGTCATGGAGACTTCCACATTCCATTGAGTTGTACAATGAAGGGAAGAATAAAGAGTTGCATGCACAAACATAAAATTCCTTTGTATTTTAGCTGATTAAATCAAGATATCATTGTCCTACTCAGTCTCCATTCCTTAACTGAACAAATGTTTTAATCTGCATTGAAAATGTAAAATCAAATCTTCATAAGCTAAGAACCTCAGTTAACTTCTTCCCTACCTCAATCCTTCAAACTAACTGTACTTTGATTCTCTATGCAGAAGTGCTACTATTCTGATATGAGATGCACTGGAGATGTAATTGCTTAAAACTGAGCTCTTGGACCAGGAAGTCCTTCATGTTTTATGGGACAAGTAAAATTTTGAAAAAGAGACTGATGGAAGGCAGCATATACTTTCGAATAAATAAGATACCCAAAGAGCTGAAACAAATGCTTCCTTACCTGGCTTCTCCTTTGCTAGCTGTTTATCAAGAGCTAAAGTCGTTTTTTCTTCCTGAATGAACATCCGGTCAATCATCACCATCTCTGCCGAAGGACTGACTCTCTGCAACAGAAAATAGTATTGGCAAATGCTAGTTTTCTATTTAAGAATCACCAACTTGACCTTCTTAATGATCCATGTCTCCAAATTTGTACATCCCTAGTCATGTCTTTCCTTCTGCCATCTATCACTGCTGAAAAACTACAAGCTGCTCAATACAAGACCCAACTTTATTAAAATGTTAAATACACTTTAAAGTCCACAGATTGATAAGGGTAAGAATTAATGAAATGATCTATAGCTCCAATATACAGGATAACAGCAAGTTCCACCCCAATGAACAATTTCAGAGTTTTTATTTAACTTCACTGAATTCTGGAAATCTAATCTATTGTATCAGGCAAATGCAAGTGGAAGTCTACATATAGTATACAACAAGATGTGTTTATCTGTGATGAATATAAAAACGCATTTGAAAATTCACAGCTTCTGTTAAAATAAACTTTACTATTCAAAGACTGAAATGTTACGCTTTGTAGGCTCTTGACTCTCTCTTTTTGCAATGAGGCATTTCCCTATAGTTTTACTATCCTTTAACTTGCTTATTCCTCTCTTTTTGCCGTGAAAAACAATGAACAAAAAATACACTAAATATCACCTAACTTCAAATCTGCAACGTATCAGACATTAAGTTCAAAAGAAAGAACACAAATTGAAAAAGTATTGAAAAGAAAGGATATTGACAGAATATATGCATTTGCGTGAATACATTCTAGATGCAAAACTGAGTTTCTTTTCATAATAGAGAAAAAGTTTCAGATTATATATGAACACACCTATTATCAGCAGTGTTATTTAGCTGGCTCAGTCCAGTCTATGTGAACCAGTTGCTAAATTGTCATACTTTATAGCTCAGCAATAAGCCTGGAGCCCTGGCAGGATGGCCCTCCAGTCTTTGTGGCAGCCAGCTTCATCAAACAGAGGGAGGCATATCTGTTTATACCTTAGTTCTAACTGCATTGAAAATACTGGGACTTAAGCACCTAATGAAGAATTTAATTTCTATTAATTCCTTTTGATCTGTGCAAATGAGGCTGATGGATGAAAATCTCTCCCACTTTTTTAATATGTATATATGCCAATTTAGATTTGGGCATAAAATTATATCCACGCAGTTCCAAGCAGAATTGTGGCTTAGGATTGCAAGTGATGAGTTTAAAGGCCTTTAAAAATGTATTAATTGTCTGTTAGATAATCGTTTTAATTATTTAACTGTGAACTATCATCTCAGCAATACTAAAAAGTATGTTGTGGGGAGTTAAATAAGGAAAAAATTCTCTATAAGCATTGAGATATTTTCATCAGCCACATTCAAGCTACTACTCCTTATATCTCCAGTTTTCTAAGTAAGGCAACCAGGACCAAACTTGCTAACCCTTTATTACCCAGAAATGCCATCCAGTTCGAAGGGAATTCTTAATATGAATTTTTTCTTCCTCTCCGGCTTATAAACCACTCTGCATTTCGCAACAGGTTCAATTTAACTTTAATTACGTTGTATTTGGAGCAGATTCCTGAATTTGTGATATCCAGTGGTAAGACACACAGATTCTTATCTTTGTTGAAATAATACAGCTTTTTAAAAGGCACATTGATACTAATATGTCTGGATTATTAATAACTTTGCTATTTCTAATTTGGAAAGGCTAACATGATAAATTATTATCAGAACCAGTTGTTGCTTAATTTAGGTAACATCCCTGCTGCCCATCCATTTCTTTTTACAAAAACTTTCTACTGCTTGTTAAGTTCTAATAAGTGAAACCCACAACTCTCAGAGTATTCCATATTATTGTGACATATTCTCCCCAGTGTGATAAAAATGTTATCATTTTTTGGCCTGCTCCGTGGCAACTCAGTCAGTCAACTAAATGCCAATGAGAGGGGCAAGCTGTTTGCTGATGTTCTACCTGTTCAAAGAGGAAACCAAAAAAAGAAAATTTTACCCGGGATTCCTCCAGGAGTAGCAACCGATATTTGTTCAACATGGCTTGTGTACGTTTCAACAGCTGTGTGGACACCATTTCAAATTCTTCATCTACTTGAGAAAAACACACAATGAGAAAGGAAAAGAAAGGAGGGAAACTTGTCTTCTCTCAAATGGAAAGTGCAATGAAGAAAGCTCTTTGAATTATTGGAAGATGTGTTTAATACACTAAGCGTGTCCAAAAGGATACCCATTACATATAGCAAATGGAGCCCTTTATAATCCCCCTCCCATCCATCACTCAGTCACACATAAATGACACAAACAGATATGTACAATGTAATAAAAACTGCAATAATAAGCATTCAAGAGACAAACAGCTCTTGAACCTCATGTTGAAACAACCTCACACTGAAACAGAATTGAACAGAAGGAAGGTTTCTTCTTTATTCCCTTCAGTCACTGGATGTGGAAAGCAACCATATCTTTGTAATCACTGACCATTCTGAATAGCTAAATGACAGTAATACACATGATAATTATTTTCTGAAGTGAGGAAACCACACCATAGAATCAAATTTCTTAGTGAATTCTAACTTTAATATGTTGAAGCGCTTTGGGTGCTTAGGGAAAAAAGCATTATTAGAATCAGTAAAAGATTGGGGAACTGAGGCTAAAACATGTAACGGACAACTTAATGTTGATCTATTTGCACGTGATGTGGAAAAGTCCCAATAAATTTACCTTTCCGATAGTCATGGGGAGAAGGCAGCGTTCCCTGATAGACATGGTAAGGTAGGAGCCTCTGTAAAGCATCTTCAAATGACCGAAATGAAGTTTTGTAATCAGGATGCAGAACTGCTCCTTGGTGTTTATGCAGCTGTTCCAAGAAGCTAAAGGGAACAACAGAAAATAATGCAAATGAACATAGAGAGTCTATCCCTATATTATACCAACGACAAGCAACAACTGCCACCCATTCTGTCCTGCTGAAATCTGTAGTAAGCTGGCTGCAAAAAAAACCAAACTCAAGTTCCACTTTTTGACACTGCAGTACACTAGATTCCCCTGCATGGGGGCTAATCTACAACAGATAAGAAATTATTCAACCTGATACAAACATGGAGTTTGAAAAAAACATACACTACTATTCGTCATTTCATTTTTGTTATTTCCTATGCCTGGTTCCTGGTGTTGAAAGCTGTTTCTAGGATGAATCTTAATAAAGAACTTTACTGTTGTCAATTGTTCAACTGGGACACTCAAATAACATCCTTATTTGTTCTGGATGCAATTTTTATATTATATAGCAAAGTAACTTAGTAAATAACTAATAACTTAGTAAAGCAGAATGAGTAAGAAACATGCATATATCTGCACAAGTGTGAGAGAAAGATATGTAGTCTGCTGTTTTTGCAAGCAGGTTTACTTCACATGCATGAATTTTTCTCAGAAAAAAATGAATTAAGTTAGAGCAAGAGAGCATCATTCAAAAAGCTCTGGATGACAATTCAAGCTATGTGTTACTGGTACACCACCATTTGGTCCACTATGTCACACTGGCTAAAAACATTTTGTTGTCAGTATTCACATTTTTTTTTCATACAACTAGCTCAAAGAAATTGGCATCTTTTACCCACGGGAAATCAAAAGAGCTCGGTTGAGTTATGGTCAGATATTTTGACATAATACAGTAACTTTTTTAATGCTTTGTTTCTGTTTCTATGTTACTGGTTTGTTGGACTGCTCCAGTTAGACTTACCAAGCTTCCTTGCTTGGTTGTAGCATTGGGGGTGCTTTTTTCAGGCTTCCAAGCTTGTTATCATACTGGTGAAGAGAGAAAATGTAAGAACAAAGAGGCAATTAGATGAACTGGTGTTCCAAATAAAGCACAATCCAGCCTCTATCTATGAAAGTGGTTCAATATGAATTCTGGTTATAAAAAGACAAATATACAGGTTGTCCTTGTTTAACAACAGTAACTGGGACTGGAATTTCCGTTGCTATGCAATGTGGTTGTGAAGCGTTATGTCATGTGACTGCATCACTTAGCAATGGCAATCCTGGCAGTCCCCATTGCTGTCATTAAGGTGAGGTGGGTCAGTGCTACGGAGTGCAGCTAGGCGGGGGAGGAGAGTGCTACAGTGCGGCAGGAATGCAGCAAGGCCGGGGGGTGCATTGCGTGGTGGGAATGTGGCAAAGCCAGGTGGGTGGGCAGCATGGTGGGAGTTGCCCTGCTGCCCCGGGGCCCCTTGGGAGAAAAAGCGGCAGGAGCAGAAGTGATGTACCACAGCAACTTGTGATCTTCCCTGCTGGTTTTCCCATTGACTTTGCTTGTAGGAAACTGCCAGGGAAGGTCACAGATGGTGATTACATGATTGTGGGACACTGCAACTATTGTAAGTATGAGCTGTTTGCCAAGCGCCTGAATCACGATCATGTGACTGCAGGGACACTGTGATGGTCGCAACTTCAAGGACCGGTCGTAGGCTCCCCTTGTTCAGCGCCATTGTAACTTTGAACAGTCACTGAATGAGTGGCCAGTAAGTGAAGACTACCTGTAACATTCTTGATGATATAAAAAGCTTACAGTAATAAAGATTTCCCAGAATACATCAGATTGTAAAAAAGCAATCATATTTTGACCTGCATTTGTTGAATGAACAGGCATTTAACAAGTGGGTGGTGGCTGTTAACTGAGGCACGGATTTCAGATTTTAATGATACCATGGTAGACTCACAACTGTAAAGTGTTCTATGTAGGGTGAACCTTGAGACATGTGCTTCCAATTGGGCTCTAGATCCAATGTAAACTGCTGGTTCTAATTTTGAAACCTGCTACTAGTTTTCCTCTTCCTTCTGAGTCCCTGAGAGCTTGAGTATTCCAATAATCCCTGAAACCTCCCTTTCCCCCTTTTTAAGGACTGTGGTTATATTTTTAAAATTCTGTTAGAAATTGTTTTATTTTACTCAGTGCTTTTAATTCTCTTTTAATAAAAATGGTTTATATTCCATGAAAGCTTATGCCATATTAAATCTGTTAGTTTAAGCTGCCACTATACTTAAGTTTGTCACAACAAACTAACATAGCTGGTTTTGAAATAAATTTTAACATCTGCTGTTTTAAATGTTTGTACATCTGAATATTGTATTTTTTATTGCTTTAAGTGATTGGTATCCATTTTGAAAGTAAGTAAATCTACAATAAACAAAACAGATTCTCACCTGCTGCTGGATTTGGGCTTGTGCTGAAGACATTACTTGTGGCAAGCCTTTTCCAACTACCTGGAGCTGCAGCTGACCTTTCCCAAGATTCAGGCCTGATACAGAACTAATGACTCCAGGCTTGGCCTGACAAAGAAACAAGAAGGCAGCTTTATATCAGATGGATTAGAAGGAAGGAATGAAACCAAATACAGGTAGACCTTGCTTAATGACTACCCTGTTTCACGACCGTTTGAAGTTATAACGGTGCTGAAAAAGTAACTTTACGGCCGGTCCTTGCACTTATGACCATCTCAGTGTCCCACAGTCACATGATAACCATTTGTGCGCTTCACAACCGGCTTCCAACTAGTAGAGTCAATGGAGAAGCCGGCAGTAAAATCACAAGTTGCAGTCATGTGATGTCTTGCTTAATGGCCACATCACTTTGCAACAGAGTTGCTGGTCCCAATTATGGTCGCTAAACGAGGACTACCTGTATAGAGAAGAAGTACCAACAGTTTGTACAACAGGAAAGTGAATGATAAAATAATACAAACATCTGGAAATCTAGGCAGTATTGCTACAGTTGTAAAATCTGTGTAAAAGATTATTGTAGTATTTAATAAATGATGGAATTAAAATTGAGTTGTAATGAATTATGGAATTTAAATTAATTGAATACAAATTCAATGGATAAAAAAATTGAGCTACATGCTTAAATTCTTTTAATTACTGAAGTTTAAACTACTAACAAATAATTGCTTTTATCCATTTGGAGAAAAGCCTATCATTTAAATAATAATTACTAAAATACCAAAATGCCAAAGAGATACTGATAAATATAACCATATAGTCAGTAAGTGGAATATAAATGAATCTATCAACAGGTTCAGCCTTTAGTTTTGCTTAGAATTGTGAAACTTGATAGGAAAAATCATCCCTATGTTTTATTTATTAAACTATTATTGGCTTGAATAATGAACCCAATAAAGTATTTTAAAAATTAAATAAAAAAGTTTAAAATATTTAATTATTTCAGGGCAGATATATAATTAATTTTAATGTTTAGATAACTGTAGTCACTGACATTAATTACTATCTTAAAGCCAGTAATGCCTATCAATCACAAGTGCTAAAAACTAACATTCAACAATAATAGCAAAGATGAATGTTTTTGCAAAAATTGTTTGTCAGTTATAACAAACCCACCTGAACTGACTGTTGTATGGCATGAGAAATTGCGGGTTTTCCTTGCCCAGAAGTTGCTTTCCCTCCAGAAATAGTTGTTGAGTTACTGGAAAATGTTTTACTCTCGGCAGAAACTACAGCAGCAATTGCTGGAGAAATATGGAAGAGGGACAGACACACGTATACAAGAGTTTGGAATGATAGAAGCATTGTCATTTTTTTTAAAGGATTAATATCCCAGATATTACATATCTCTGCTGGAAACAGATAATCTATTTATTTATTTAATCTATTTATTTATACATCAAATTTGTCACTGCCCATCTTGTTAAAAAGCGACTCTGGGTGGCTTACAGGAAAAATAAAATCAATTAAAATACAATATAAAAATAATCTTAAATAAATAATAAATTCCAAGAAATGATGGGAATTTGTGAGTAACTCAGGGAGCGCCATCAGAGTGCCAGCCACCCCCAGGATCTATTAGAGCTCTCATCACTCTACACAAGCTGGCAGAACCAGGTTTTTATCCTCCTCTTCCCATGATAAAATGCACAGGACCTGTTTGCCAGTTCCTTCTCTTAATTTTTTTTTCCCAAATGCAATTTGCAGCTATGAATTCTAGAGAACTTTGAGTTCTGATCCCTCACTTAATCATTGCTTGGGATAAAATGGAACAGGAAGAAGACAACAGACCAGCAATATCAGGATTGTGCTCTCTCTCTCTCTTTCTGGCATTCCTTAATTTACTTTCTTTCTAGTTGGCCCCTAAACTTATTTCTCTCTCTGCCTCTTAATAATGATGGAGCAATTCATCAGCACACTTTTGTGAAGGTTTTACTTAAGATGAAAGTACAATTTTGGTTACTGGCAATCATAAAATGGAACAGGAAGAAGACAACAGACCAGCAATATCAGGATTGTGCTCTCTCTCTCTCTTTCTGGCATTCCTTAATTTACTTTCTTTCTAGTTGGCCCCTAAACTTATTTCTCTCTCTGCCTCTTAATAATGATGCAGCAATTCATCAGCACACTTTTGTGAAGGTTTTACTTAAGATGAAAGTACAATTTTGGTTACTGGCAATCCTTGAAGGTACTCATTCAGTGAAATACAATTTGGAGTGTCCACCACTATGCAGAGGCTACAACAGTGCCTGTCATTCTGTAAACTGGACATCCTTGCTCTTGCATCCAAAGCCAGCTGATTGTTCCACTAGTTAAATGCAGAAAACAAAGAATCTCTACCCTTTCATTGCAAGAGATTGGGAGAAGGCCATTCATGATATTGGAGTATGGCCAGGCCATCAGAATTAACATCCTTCTCAGGAGATGTGCCAAGGAATATTTTAACAAAGGGAAAAACAGTTTTTTAATTCTGCGTTTAAAGGCAGAATTAATGTAGGGAAAGTCAACAGCAACTGGGGGATAAAATCTTGTTGTAGATCAGCTTAAAAAAATTAAATCCAAAAAATTGCAAAAACCTTGCAAACTTGCATGAAAAATGTTACTGATTTGAGTTATTCTTTTTGAGACCAAAACCAAACAAAAGAATTCTGTGATTATTTCAGTGTCTGAGCAACCATAAGCATTTATTATCAATGTTCATTTTACACAAGTGACAGGATTTTTTGACGATAAACACTCAGGAAGAATTTCATAGACAGCAACATATACACTTGGACATTTAAATTATATGAGCAGGGAAACAACTATCTAAAATTCACTCTCCGGCAAATCTTCATCTCAAGATTCAGGTAACATTTAAGATCTCAAGATATAAGATTTTAGAAATATATTAATCTTATGCCAAAAACAAAATTCTTAATGCCAGGTCAGTTAACAACAAGGCTTCCCTTATATGTGAGTTGATCACTGAGGAACGGGCCAACCTGGCGTGTATCACTGAGACCTGGCTGAGCCCTGAAGGGGGGGTGCCCCTTTCAGAAATCTGCCTGGCCAGGTTTATAGTTTGGCATCAGCCGAGACCCCAGGGTAGGGGAGGAGGGGTAGCAGTTGTCATCAGAGAATCTCTGTTGGCCATCAGGGGCGCTGCTCCACAAGTGGCTGGTTGTGAGACCCTGTTCTTGAAGTTGGGTTCACAAGCACAGTTGTGATTGTTGTTACTGTACCAGCCTACCTGCTGCGTAGCAACCTCCCTGCCTGAGCTGCTGGAGGCCATTGCGGGGCTGGCAGTGGAGTTCCCCAGACGGATGGTCTTGGGGGACTTCAATCTGCCATCCCTGAGGCGTGCCTCAGAGGCAGCCCGGGAGTTCATGGCTACCATGGCAGTCATGGGCCTGTCCCAGATTATCCGTGACCTGACTTGGGACAGTGGTCTCACACTGGACTTGGTTTTCTTGTCAAGCAATGTGATCTGAAGGAGGAATTACAGCTGTCCCCCTTGTCATGGTCAGATCACGTCCTGGAGGCCTTGAGATTCTCTTATGCTACTCCCCTCCGCAGGGAGGTAGGACCCATTCAATTGGTCTGCCCCCGGTGACTGATGGACCCAATTGGGTTCCAAGGGGAGCTAGGGGTTATACCCAAGAGTCTGCTGCATGGCCCAGTGGAGGTCTGGGCTGCTACCTGGAATAGGAAAGCGGCCAAGGCCTTGGACAAGATCATGCCTATGCGACCTCTCTTGACCCATTGAACCCGACACTCCCTGTGATTTACGGAGGAGCTGAGGGTTTTGAAAAGGGTTAAAAGACATCTAGAGCGCTGCTGGAGGAAAACAAGGTCCAAACCTGACTGAACACAAGCTAGAGCCGCTATTAAGGCCTACCTTGTGGTGGTAAGATCAGCGAAACGTCAATATTTCTCCGCTCTTATTACATCCGCAGAATGCTGCCTGGCAGCCCTGTTCAAGATCACCCAATCTCTTTTGGGAAAGGGGGGCTCAGTAGCCCATTTACAGGGCCATGCAGAGGAATTTTCTAGGCAGCTGGAGGATAAAATTGCTCGGATCCAGTTCCAGTTGGATACCAAGTGTGTGGCATGGTCTATAGAGATACCCAGGGTACGTTCTTACCCTGTTATCTGGGAACAGTTTGATCCTGTTGAACCTGAGGAAGTGGACAGGGTCCTCCGGATGGTCAATGCCACCACTTGTCAACTAGATCCATGTTCCTCCTGGCTGGTTAAAGCTTCCCGGGAGGTGACACGTGGGTGGGTCCAGGCAATGGTGAATTCATCCTTGAGGGAGGGGGTGTTTCCAGCTGGCTTTAAGGAGGCGCTGGTGCATCCTCTCATCAAGAAGCCATCATTGGATTCCACCATACTGGACAATTTTCGTCTGGTCTCCCACCTCCCCATTTTAGGGAAGGTGGTGGCGTTGCAGTTCCAGAGGATTCTGTAGGAAATGGATTATCTGGGCCCTTTTCAGTCAGGTTTCGGGCCCGGATATGGGACAGAAATGGCATTGGTCGCACTCATGGATGATCTCTGGCGGGAGTGGGATGGGGGTAGTGCATCCATTCTTGCTCTTCTTGACCTCTCAGTGGCTTTTGATACCATCGACCATGGTATTCCTTTGGGTTGACTTGGGGAGTTGGGAGTGGGCGGCACAGTTTTGTGCTGGTTCTCTTCCTTCCTCCAAGGTTGATCCCAATCGGTGTTGATTGGGGGGGAGAGGTCCAGCTTGCGGCCCCTCCTTTGTGGGATGCCCCAGGGTTACTCTCTCCGCTCCTTTTTAACATCTACACAAAATCACTGGGTGAGATCATCCGTCACCATGGGATGAGGTATCATCAATACATTTATGATACCCAGTTATACATCTCCATCCCAGGTGAGGTGAGTGATGCCATGACTGCCCTTTTGTGGTGCCTGGAGGCTGTGGGAGTCTGGATGGGGTGTAACAGGCTTCAGCTGAACCCTGGTAAGACGGAGTGGCTATGGATTGGAGGCCCCTCTGTATCCAAGGATTTACCATCTTTGGTTTTGGACGGGGTTGCACTGCCCGGATAGACCCGGTGCAAGGACCTGGGGGTCCTTCTGGACTCACAACTCCTGCTCGAGGAGCAGGTGGCAGTTGTGGCCTGGAGAGCCTTTGCCCACCTTCGTGTGGTATGCCAATTAGGCCCCTTCCTGGATCAGGAGGCTCTCTGACCAGTCACTCATGCCCTGGTCATCTCTCGGCTAGACTACTGCAATGCACTCTACATGGGGCTACCTTTGAAAAGTATCTGGAAGCTACAACTGGTCCAAAATGCAGCCGCGCGGATAATTTTAAGTGCCCCAAGAACGGTGCATATAACACCTTTACTGCGTGAGCTGCCTTGGGTCCCAGTCTGCTTCAGGGTCCAATTCAAAGTGTTGGTTATCACCTTTAAAGCCCTACGTGGCATGGGTCTAGGTTACCTGAGGGACCATCTTACTCCTGTCACATCAACCCCTCCCACCTGGTCAGGCAGAGAAGGCATGTTGTGGGTCTTGTCAGCGAGAAAACGTCAACTGGTGGGGCCCAGGAGGAGAACCTTCTCTGCCATTGTTCCCGTCCTTTGGAACATTCTTCCCCCAGAGGTGCGGCAGGTCCCTACCCTACTGGCCTTCCAGAAAAAATTGAAGACCTGGCTCTGCCAGCTTGTGTGGGAGGATAATAACTCTACCCAATCCTGGGTGTGGCTAGCACCTCAATGACGCTCCCTGAGTGATCGCCAATTATTTTGGATCTTTTTATTTTGTATTTATTATTGTACTTTTGTAATTTTAATTGATTTTAATTGTTTTGTAAACTGCCCAGAGTCGTTTAATGAGATGGGCGGTGACAAATTCGATAGATAGATAGATAGATAGATAGATAGATAGATAGATAGATAGATAGATAG